AAAATGTGCTTTTAAAATAACGTATCCCGTTCGGGAAGCAGTGAAAGTGTGTAAGGGGAGACGAGAATCGTTCCCAACTTCCACCTACTACCTACAGCCCCCTTACATGTCTTTCCCCCGCACGAGGCTCGAGACAGCTGCTTCGAGCATGGCCGGTAAGAGCCAGGCTCCCTCAAAACCTTTAACTAGGTGGGAGCCCCATTTTCTAAAAAAAAAACATGTTGGTACCCTAAAAAAATAAAACAACAGCATAACAAAGAAAAAAAGGGTTCCAACCATCTTCAAGAAGAAAATAAAGCAGCTTAAAAAAGTGAGTCCATGATCTTTCTATTTTTTTAGAGTACCTTTGTAAACGATTCATCTGTCCTCTGATTACTATTTACCATGATGCTGGCTCGAGACTAGAGTTCTCGCCGAAGAAGCTAGGAGGTCTCGTGTGTGGAGACTGCATCCTCGAGTGCACGAGCCTTCATCATCTGCAACACCACCTGCTCGTGACTTTAGACTCCACCTCATTAATGAGAACCTAAACTTCAAAGAGGTTTTGGGGTGGACCAAAACTTAAGAGCCATCGTCCGGCTCACGACGTGAAAAGCGCTTGTCGGGATGTAACCCAACCAGTCGATTTGCATTTCTTTCCCTATTTCTTTTCGGTTGAGTCGGTTTTTTCTTTGATTTTAGAGTCAATAACTCAATCTTTGTGAGATTTTATGTGGTGTTTGTGTTCCGAATACTCTCTCCTCTTGGAATGCACCACCTACCCCGTCCACCATTATTCACACTTGATCTGGTAACTTCGTTCTACCCTCGTTATCTTTCCTCGATTGAGGACAATGTCGTGTTTAAGTGTGGGGGTGTGTTCCATTATGTTTGTGTGTGAATTCTTGCTTGTATGTGTGTGCTTAGAGCCTTGTCCACTGTCCAAATTTTACAATTTGAGGGTTCAAAGTACGTGTCCTTTGCAAATGCCTACTCAATATGTTTTGAATGGACAATCTTTATAGTAATATGCAACCTAGCGAGGTAGTGTAGCACTATGGAGGATGTTGATGCATTTAAGAAGCCTCCTTTCTTCTTCATATTGTGTTGGTTGATAGTGAGAATTAGTGATCTTAGGACACTTGAATCGTGTGCTATCGTGGACTCTCTACCTGTCATGGACTCTTGTATCATGTTTTGAAAAAGGTGCTCTCAAATGTGCTTTTAAAACAATGTCTCCCGTGTGGGAATCGGTGAAAGTGTGTAAGGGGAGACGGGAATCTGTTCCCAACTTCCACCTACTACCTCCATCCCACTTACATTTCTTTCCCCCGCACGAGGCTTGAGACATCTGCTCCCAGCATGGTCGGTAAGAGCCGCTCCCGGCATAGCCGGTAAGAGCCGCTCCCTGCATGGCTGGTAAGAGCCGGGCTCCCTCAAAACCTTTGCTAGGTGGGAGCCCCATTTTCTGGAAATAACAGGTTGGAACCCTTACAAAGAAAAAAAGGAACAAGTAAATGAAAAGAAAAGAAAGAAAGAAAGGGGGTTCCAACCATCTTTAAAGAAAAAAATATAGCACCTAAATAAGTGAGTCCATGATCTTTATGTTTTTTAGAGTCTCTGTATCCACGGATCGTTTGCCCTACGATCACTCCTTAGCATGATCCCGAATCGGGACTAGAGTTATCACCGAAGAATCTATGAGGTGCCTTGTGTGTTGGTTGACCTCGTAAGTTTCTAAATGATCTAGGAAGTCCGCTAAAAACGATCGAGGTTGCATGTTGCTGTAGAGGTCCGGAGAGTTGCATTGGTTTGAGTCAGGTTTGCTTGGGGATAAGCAAACGGTTAATTGTGGGGGATTTGATGACTCGATTTCTACCTCACTTTGTGACCAGATAATCATGTAAGATTTTCATGAGAATATAGAGGACGAGACTACGAGCGTCTGGGATCAAACGACACCTGATTTGGAGTCCGAATGAGGGAGAAACGAAGACACAAAGATAGGGGACCCGGAAGTGAAAAATACCCACCCAGTAGGTATAGGTGTCAATCGGGCGGGTTCGGGCTGGGTTCAATTGGGTTGCGGGTTAGTTGGGTTTTGGGTTCTTCGGGTTGCGGGTTCATTGGTTCGGGTTCAATTGGGTTGCGGGTTTATTGGTTCGGGTTCAATCGAATTGCGGGCTAATCGGATTGCGGGTTCATCAGGTTTTTGGTCGGGCGGATCGGGTTGTGGGTTGTGTGGGTCAGCGACCCTAGTTACTTACTCCTTACTTGCTACCAATTTACACATTTTATTAGACTGATTTAAAATATTTTTCATAATTTGTAACCAATTTCTTTTTATCTCATATACATTTCTTACTTACTCCTTAAAAGCTAGTCAAAATGTTCAATCGATTTGAATGATTTGCAAACTTGTCATGTAATTAATCGTAATTCGTAAATACACTAGCTAATAGTAATTGTGATATCAACATTTGCAACCAATAGACACTATTAACAAACTATACATTCAGAAAACAAAACACCACTCTAATTTATTTTCATATGGAAAATCTAGACAAGGCACTAATGTTATAAACAACAGCCTATGTGTGATGGGTATCAGGCTTAATAATGAAGGAATTAAAACATAGGTGGTGCGTTGAATTTTTTTTGGTGGGGGGGGGGGGGGGATGGATTTTCCCTCCTTATATTTTTATTTTGGTAGAGATAAATTGTAGAGTGAAATCAAAATTAAAAGAATGAAAAGTAGGGAGGGAAACATTAGGGAAGTGAAAAGTTGGGATGAAAATATCAAAATGAGGGGGGTGGAGTTTTCACCGGAGTAACCGGACTCAATTTGGTGCAAGGATTTCTTTACTTTCATCACAGGAAAAAAAAAATACTGCGAGGAGCTCTCTCCTCGTTCGTGGGTTTGTCCCACTGACTGGGAAATTGGTTGCTTAGGATCCTCGCCTCCCTCTTGCTACGTAGCTTGGCGAACAAAGAGGATGAAGGGCTGAGGAAAACGAAATAGGTTTGGAATACGTATTCAAAAGAAAGCCGCCATGCAGACTGGCGCATAGCTAGACGGGCGCCGCCGGTGGCCGGGTTAGGATTAGGAAATCGTCTTCCGATCCAAAACTTTGTGATCCCCACAAGGAGGCTAAGCAAACGTAAGAGGGTTCAGCTTCGGGAAGATGACAATCCATCGCCTAGCTATCCCTTAGTAAACCTCATGCCTGCAAAAAGATGCAGGTTGATTCGTCTCAGAGGGTGGAGAATCTGGCTCCCCTCGTCGTCGGATTTGGTAGGCGATGATGATTCGCTGTTATCCAAGCCGGATATGTCTATTACTTCATGTGATATCCTGAGTAGGGATACTGAAGACCTGATCAGCCGGTTTGCTCAGAAACCTGAGTCGGCAATAAAATGTTTGGTCGTTCGTCAGGGTAAACAGCCGGTGCAAGAGAACACCGACGTGATTGTGCGGCCGCCGCCGGAGCAACCCACTATACAGACCCGTGTGCCGTTGGAAAACCGAGTGCACACGGTTGGAGCGAGATCTGTCCCAGATTTTGCGGGGTTGTTTGGGGATTATGGTTATGGTCGAATTCAACGGACACAAAAGAAAAAGATCCCCACGTATCCTACCAGTAGGGGGAGTCTGTATCCAATTCCAACTCCTACTCGCACTAACCTCCCCTCTTCGAGGGGTGCACTGGAACGGGGTAAAGGATTTGTATTTAATTCCTTGTTGACGGGGAGAAAGTCCCTACCTTTCTTTCAAAGAAATATTTGTGGAAGCTCTCCTGCGTTACCCTCGTCTCTAAGTCTCGCTGCGAGGGAAAGTTCAGGTACAGGGGCTAACCTTGAGGTTGTGCCATCCTCGGCCCTCCTAGCTCATCCCGCTCTTACTCCTGTTACGCAGTGCCCTTCCCCCCTGGGATCGAGTTTCCTAGTCTCGGCAGAAGGGCTGATAGGGTGTTCGGCGGCTATTCTTAACCCGATCTATTCATCTTATTGGCAGGTTCCGAGTATGATGACACACGTTGCTGAAGAACAAGTTTTCCAGTTCTCCCTGGAGGAGGTCCAATCAACCAGGTTTCGGGCTTCTCGCACCCTCCTGGGGAGATTATTTACCAATGACCAGATGACGACGATGGAGCTGCGGGAGGGTTTGCTTGATGCCCAGAAACTCCGCGGCCATCTCAAGGTCTCGAGTACCAATTATGGCCTTTTTGAGATCGTCCTACCGAATGAGGAAGCAAAAAAATGGGCGTTAGCACGTACCCCTTGGACTATCAAGGATAAGCTGCTCACCCTCCGCGCCTGGTCACCGTCTATCACCGAATAGCAGTTCGAGGCGATGTCCAGGGCCCCTTTTCGGATCCAGCTCTGGGGAGTGCAAGATGATTGTCGTACCATGCTATTTGGTCAAAAAATCATTGCTGCTACTGTTGGTCAAGTTCTCGATTCAAGTCTCTTTGCCTCGACTGAGACAAGTGAGCGCTTTATCAAAGTGTGGGATATGGTTGATTTTGCTAAGCCTCTTCGATCTCAATTGATGGCGGTCAGTGAGGAAACCGATCGCTTCTGGGTGAGCCTAAAATATGAATTTTTGCCCAGCTTCTGCTTCCACTGTGGCCGAGTGGGCCATGCTCGACGGGACTGTGTTTTCGACCCGCCAAAAGGAAAAGAACGATTTGGTCCTCATGTGGCGACTAAGAAATTGGGTCGTGAAATATATGATGATGATGGTCACTCGATGACAATTGGGGGACCTAGGAGCTCGGTGTGGATTAATCGTCAAACGCGTGGCATGGAGGCTGCAAAATGGCGGAAGCCCACCACTGATAATGGGGATATGGATCGAGCCCTCACCTCGGCCCAAACAAGGCTTCAGATCGATGGGACTGTGCCAGCTGGACCGGGAATGGATGCTCGCTCTCTGGAAGAAAGGCAGGTGGCGAGGGAGCTGGAGCGGTCACCGTTGCGTCGCCATAGCCCCATGGGTTTTGCCCTTAATCGAACTCCCAAGATAAAATTTGGTGGGGGTGGGAAGCAGAAGCGGAGGACATCAAATAAAGAGCTTGACAGCCCGGGTCCTTGAGGGAAGAAGGGTATGCGCAGGCCTCGTAATCCGAAACCATCTCGCCTGGAGTCGTCTCCCAAGGCGGCTGGGGTGCAAGCTAAAATAATGGAGTTGTCCCGGCGTCTTCGGCTCATCATGGAGGAAGACTCTGACAATGACATGGGAGTTCCTTCCCTGCCGAGAGATCATGGGACTCCGCACTGCCCGCCGGGTGACCTGGTGCCTCTAACGAGCTTGGAAAAGGCAGGCAAGGGCTTGGCTCCGATGCTCGGAGGATTCGGGGATGGATGATGACAATCAATGTTTTGAAATAAAAAAAACGTGTCCCTCTGCCTTCCTCGGTGGAGTGTGGTCAGGGCATGGTGGGCAAAGTCTCCCAGGTCGTTGCAGCGTTTGAAGCAGGGTTGGCTATTGCCCAGGATAAACTTGATCCTCTCAGAGTCCAAGGTGGTGAGAAAGGATCTAAAATACCGGTAGACGGGATACATGAACAGGGGGCCGAGGTACCTGATGAATATGGGTTAAATATGACCAACCTAGTGTTTGTAACCCGCAAACGCTCTTTGGAAGCTGTCGAGGGTGAAGTTGGATCCCCTCCCACGCCAAAGAAGCACTTTGTGGAATCTGCTGATGATTATGACAAAGGAAAGGTGGAGGAAGCCAGCCTGGAATGGCCCCAGTTTGATAAATGAGGCTTATAGCCTGGAATGTGAGAGGGATTGGGCCGTCCCTCACATTCCAAACTGCTGTAGGTTTAGTTCGTTCTAATAAACCGGATGTGTTTTTTTCTGAATCACGATCGAGCCAGCGTGTTGTTTCCCGTCGTATGCGGGGTCTAGGTTTTGATAGTTCCCATTGTTTTTTTTTGGATGCGATTGATGCATCCGGTGTTCTTGTAGTAGCTTGGTCCCCCGGAGTTGATGCTTCGGTGTTTTATCATTCCGATTTCTGTATTTTCACCCAGATTAATGAAGATGATTTTTCTTATATTGTGATTTGTGTTTATATTAGCTGCAATTCTGTTGTTCGAACAACCCAATTGGCTCAACTTCGGGATTTTTGTTCCGCCCTTACACTGCCTTATGTGATCATCGGCGATTTTAACACTACCCTACATATGGGTGAAAAGGATGGTGGTAACCCTTGGAATGCAGCTCAGTCAATTAGTCTGAGGGATTTTATCCAAGACCTAGGGCTCCATGATCCTGGTTTCCTTGGTGATCGGTTCACTTGGACTAATAGGAGGATGGGAGTGGCTTGTATTCGTGAAAGGCTAGATAGGGCTCTTTGTTCACAGACATGGGTTAATCGGTTCCCAGAAACCTTGGTGAAGCATTTCACAGATCAGGGTTCTGATCACCGACCTCTCCTTCTCTCGGACAAGCCTTACGCTTTCAATAGTCGCCCTCTCTTTAGGTTTGATGCCTGGTGGGCGGATAATCCAGAAGTAAGGGCTATGTTTGCTATGTTTGGCAGGAGGATGTTCAGGGGACTCCCATGTTCTGTCTTTGGGAGCGCCTTAAAAGGCTTCGCCATCTGCTATATGATTGGAGTAGGGCTGGCACTACGAACTCCTTGCGGAATATCAAGACTCTCTAGAGTGAAATTGATAGGGTTAAGCTTATCCAACCCATTAACTGGGATGAGGTCAGAAATCTGGAGAAGGAATTAAATCGCCAGTGGGAGGCAGAGGAGGAGTATTGGCAACAAAATTCTAGGGTCCACTGGCTGAAAAAGGGTGATAAAAATACAGCCTATTTCCATACAGTGACTAGAACTCGGTGGAAGAAGAATTTTGTGGAGGGCCTTTGTAGTGAGACTGGTGATTGGATTACAGATGAGAATGGCAAGGCAATGATTGCGACATCGTTTTATCAGAACCTCTTCACAACGGAGAATTAGGTGGCTAACATGGCTGAGCGTGTGGTTGGCTTGCCTATTGCTCGTAATGTTACCCCTGAGATGAATGCTAGCCTAACAGCGGAGGTTCTCCCTAGTGAAGTTCGGAAAACGGTGTTTTCCATGGGGCCAAAGCAGGCACCCGGGTCGGATGGGTTCATAGGTAAATTTTTCAAAACGTTCTGGGATATTGTGGGGAGCTTGGTAGTGGACGCGGTGTGTTCATTCTTCACGACAAGTCGACTACTCCGCAGCTTCAACCACACCTGGCTTACTTTGATCCCGAAGGTTGACAAGGTGGAATCCATGCGGCAATTACGGCCTATTAGCCTATGTTAGTTCATTTATAAAATTATTACCAAAATCTTGGCAGAACGGCTAGCTGGGCTCTTGCCACAAATTATTTCGGAGGGTCAGAATGCGTTTATCAAGGATCGGCAGATTGTTGAGAATGTACTCTTGGGTAATGAGTTAATGCATTATTTGAAAATCAAAACGCGGGGTAAGAAAGAATACATGGCTCTATAGGTTGCCATGGAAAAAGCCTATGATAGAGTCGAATGGTCCTTTCTTCTTGCTATTTTGGATAAAATGGGTTTTAACTCTACCTGGAGAGGTTGGATTCAAGAGTGTCTCCGGTCCGCTTCTTTCTCTGTCCTCATGAACGGTACCCCCTCTGGTTTTTTACCTCTTCCAGAGGATTAAGGCAAGGGGACCCTTTATCCCCGATGTTATTTGTGCTTTTTACGGAGGGCTTTGCGGCGCTCCTTTGGCAAGCTATCCTGGAGGGACATTTAGAAAGGGTAGAAGTGGCCCCTCGTGCGCCCCGTATCTCTCATTTATTCTTTCCTGATGATTCTTATCTATTTTTGAGAAGTACTCTACAGGAATGTGAAAATTTGATAGAGGTGCTAAACGAGTATGAGGAACTGAGTGGCCAACGGGTGAATTTGGATAAATCAGCTATTTGTTTTAGTCGAAATATTGTCCGCGCGGACTAGGATTTTTTGGCTGCTATTTTGGGAGTGGGAGCGGTAGGGGTGCATGATAAGTATCTTGGGTTACCCACGCTAATCGCGCGTTCAAAAATGGCCACCTTCCGGTATCTTGAGGAGAAATTATTAGATCGCCTTCAAGGGTGGAAACAAAGGACCTTGTCTTGGGCGGCAAAAGAGACCTTGATAAAATCTATTGCTTTGGCATTGCCATTGCATGTGATGTCCTGCTTCAAGCTTCCAGTCTCTTTGTGTCGGCTGTTGGACAAACATGTAGCCCGCTTCTGGTGGGGTGATGTTGTGGACTAGTTTCGTATTCATTGGATGTCTTGGCGAAATATGTGCCGTAGTAAGCATGATGGTGGGATGGGGTTCTGTCGCTTTGAGCAATTTAATCAAGCTTTATTAGCCAAAATTGGTTGGCGTATTCTTATGGAACCCCAATCCTTACTTGCTCAGGTCTATAAAGATAAATATTTTCCTGGTGGCTCGTTTCTTACTGCTATGGCCCATTCTCGCCCTTCATGGGGGTGGCAAAGTATCCTGTATGGTAGGGATTTGCTGGAGAAGGGCTTGCGATGGCAAATTGGGAATGGGAAGTCTGCCTCGCTCCTCCATTCTAATTGGATTCCTTCCCTCCAGTTGGATCCTCCTCAGTTTAATCCTTGAGTCTTACCGGAGGGGGGTGACCTGAAGGTTGAGGAGGCAATCTGTCAAGGGGAGGGGCGATGGAATGATCAAATTCTTAGCCAATGGTTCGACTCACCGACCTGCAGTGCCATCAAAACTATACCTCTTCCGCGGCAGTCGATAGAGGATATGTTAATTTTGCATGACTCCCCTGATGGAATGTTCTCGGTCAAGCCAGCATATCATTTAGCAGTCTCTCTTGATAAGCATCGGGGGGGTTGGAAATCTGTGGTCAGTTGGATGGATAGGTCGAGCTGGATTCGTTTGTGGGAAGCCAATATCCCTCCCAAGTTAAAGGTCTTTCTCTGGCAAATTTTAAATCGGACTCTGCCCACTACTGAGGCCCTTATTGAGAAGAAGGTCTTGGTGCTTCCCAGGTGCCCTGTGTGTTGGGCCGGCTCGGAAACCATGGAACATCTTTTTCTCGACTGTCCAGTAGCACGGGCCCTTTGGGATTTTCCTGGGTTGGCTCACCTAAGGGAGGGGCTCCCTCGACATACTTTTCCCCTTTTCCTCAAGCGGCTGATGACTTTGATTCACCAACCTACTGTTCTTATGGCGTGGTGGCTGTCCTCTGGCGTATTTGGCATTCTCGCAACTGGGTTGTCTTTGAAGGCAAACAGTTTGGGTTTTCTGCCTTGATGCGCCAATTCCAGCAGCAATATGAGGAGTGGGTCCGGCTTCCGGTGGATAGGACTCCCCGTGGTGTCCAGGCTGCTCCCACCTATCAAGAGACTTCTGGGGGGCACGGAGCTGTGTGCATGTGGGATGGGGCTGTCCGGAGTGGTTCCCACGCGGCTGGAGGTTTGGTCCTTCTAACCCCGGATCGGGAGGTTTTGATGGTGAAGGGTGTGCAGTTTCCATGGTTTGATGACCCCTTGGTAGTGGAATTGGTTACTCTGTGGGAAGCTGTTCTGTGGTGTCAGTCGTTCGGTTGGGCGGACATTACCTTTGAAGGGGATGCGAAAATTATCATTGATAAAATCAATCTCAGGGAGGCTCGAGATAGTCACTTGGGTGCTGTGTTAGATGAGCTCATTCAAATTTTTGTCGGGAATCCTGGGTTTAGTGTTAGATTTGTATGTCGGCGTAGCAATAGGGTAGCCCATTTGGTGGCTAGGAAATCCCTCTCTCTGTTCCCGACTATGAGTCGCTCTTTTGAATTCCTGGCTTGGCTGGTGTCCAGGATGTAACTCCCTTTTCTTGATCAATATATGATTATCTTTTGTAAAAAAAAAAGAGTTTTCCACTGATAATTGTCGAAAACATATTGATTTTGTGTGCTTAATGTGATTACTTCATGATATGTTTGAGATATATAATGCTTGTTTTAGGGCCAATTGACTATGGAATGGTTGAAAAGCCATTACCGTCTGGTGTTTGAGTTTATTTTTTTATGTTTTAGATGAAAAAATAAGAAGAACAGAAGAAGCAAAGGCATGACAGTAGCATTCGAAGGAAGCAGCTGGACCGGGTTTCACTTTAGCCTAGCGACCAAAGAATAGAACAAGCAGGCTGGGCCTTCTTCACTGGCCTAATTGAGGAAGGAATTAAAAGGCCCGGCTCTTTTGTCTCTTTACTGGGGCGGAAACAGAAATTGGACAAGGAGATTCTAATTGGGACGGAAGCAGAGAGCAATTTTGGTGGGCGAGAGACTTTGGGGGAAAGAGGGATTTCTCTTTTGGGGAATTAATCAAAGGGCGGAGAGGAATTTCTTTTTGGGGGGATTTT